GCATAGCAGTTCACTAGATAATGTATTCCACTGCGGCCAAAGTGCTTCAGGGAAATGGCCACACGGTGGCCAAGGTGCCAAGCCAAGGTCACACATAGCAGTTCACTAGATGGCATATTCCACTGAAGCCAAGGTGCTTCAGGGGAATGGCCACACTGCGTGGTGCTGAGGCCCACACATAGAATGTTCACTATATGTCAGGCTCCATTCCGTGCTGTTTTGGGGGGTTAAGGTATTTGCACATCACTCCCCCAATATCTCTGTAAACATATGTGCGGGGAGTGATGAGGTCGGAGCCTAGACGCCAAAATCTAATGTTATACTGCTTTAAATAAACATTTCAAACCTGAGTTGGCTGACTGAAATCTACTTAATGTAGTATGTAAAGAACTACATCTGCTAGCCATCTGTCTTGCAGTCTGCGTGTTGTTTCATATTTCGTACCATTTTAGAAACTTAAGGAATCCTAATTTTTAAAGTGATATTTTTTAGAATAACAATGTATCAAATGACAATGTGAAAACATGAAGATGATAAAGGTGTTGCTTACAGTGATGAGCCTACAGAGAATAATCATCCAAATCTGCTGCTCCCCTCAGCTTTACAGAGCTTTACAGTTGTTCAGCAGCCGCTCTCATAGCTTCATTTCCGGGTCCAGCAGGTAACAATATTCAGCAAAAAAGCTGGACACTACCTGCTGCATCAGAAAACAGTAGACATAGTAAGAGACTAGCTGATGAATATAGTGGAGCATTTAGCAGCTAAAGAGCTAGATATTTCCCTAAGGAGTTAAAAGAGTGAATATTGGACTGAGATTTGCCAGGTGTCAAAATGAAATGAATGATAATGTTGCTTTGATTCAACTGTGTGTGTAAACAAGTAACTGTTTGCCAGGTTTGCCATAGCTCGCACACTTTCTGAACCATGCACTCTTAAGACTTTAAGTGACATGACGTCATTCTTCAGCTTTTGTTACGTATAGGAGTCAATATTTGCATGATTTTAACAGGTCTCTTTTCAAAAAAAAAAAAAAAAATAGGTTGATTTAAAAAAGGTCCAGTGTGTAGGATTTAGTGCCATCTAGTGGTGTCGTTGCAGACCGCAACTCCATTGCATCACTCTCCACTTGAAAGCACAAAGGATAAACTATGCTGGCCACAAAACGTGTGAAAACCATAAACGCCATAAATAATAATGGAGGTCCTTAAAGAGTAACTAAAACCACAAACCATTTCTTTCATCTGAAAAAATTATTTTAATAAAAAAAAAAATATATATATATATATATATATATATCCATGCTGTCTGATCAGCATCTTGATATGCCACACCTGTGAGGTGGATGGATTATCTCGGCAAAGGAGAAGTGCTCACTAACAGATTGACAGATTTGTGAACAATATTTGAGAGAAATAGGCCTTTTGTGTACATAGAGAAAGTCTTAGATCTTTGAGTTCAGCTCATGATGAATGGGGGCCAAATCAAAGTGTTGCATTTATAATTTTGTTCAGTGTATATATGGGAATTTTAGTCCTGTCAATTCAGGTCTCTTTTTTGTTGCAAAGTATTTTAATTCTGCATGTTGTGCTTTATAGCAAACTCCCTCTACTGGTTGAAACCTGGCCGGTGTTACCTCCGGGATCACACACTTCGTAGGCCACACCCCTATGAGATTCTCTCAGCTGCAGTTTCAGAGAGCTAGTAGAATTTAGTTATATTTAGGATAAATACAATGTGTGGCAAGGAGTAGAGTTTTTAAAAGTAAATAAAGGGGGGAACTAAAGATAACTAAGGGAAGGAACTAACTTAGGGACCGACAACACCACCTGGGGACTTGCACCCCAGGATATGAAAACCAAATTCTATAAAGGGCACAGGGTCGAAACTGATGAGGCAGAGACAGTAGTAGGTAAAATAGAACAAATGTTTTTATTAACAAAAACGATCTAAAAGAAGCCAACTATAACAACACTAAAACTCCAATGAAATACGTATAATGAACTAAAATCAGTGGGCTGGGGCCTCAGTGGGGGCAGACTACTGGAAAACTACCCCATCTCACTAGTCTGGGAGGGTAACATTACAAACACAACAAAACATGCACTAAAAGAGCCCCAGTGCCTACTTGCATGCAACAGGAGTGAGGTTATGCCACAGTGCCTAGCTGCTCACCTGAGGACACCCAGGCCGCACCACAAATCAAGGGAACAAAAGAAAAGAGACTCCTGAAACAAAGAGAATCAGAAGTTAACAAAACCAACAACCCCATTGGTAACTAAACAATTTCAAAACATACACTCAAAACAAAATAACTTAAATATATTCAAAGTAAGGAAACTTAATAAATCTGGACCAAGAGAACAAATCAAAACCAAACAAAATGAGCAAAATAGGCAAATAAGGCCAAAACAGATGAAAAAGCTAGTCCAAAAGGAGAAGAAATAGGGAAAAGAAATAGGCAAACCTAACAAAACAAAGCAAAACAGAACAGCAGCAGATGAGCCTAAAACACAAAAAGGCACATGTTAGTTGGGGGGACAACTTTAAACCACCAGGAAACACTCAAAATGGGGACCCTACTCACCACCCCCAGCGACACCCACCACCAGGGACCAGCAAGAGACTAAACTGAGCCAGTTAAGGCCTTTCATACTGCACCTGGGCAGGGGGAGGAGCTAAGGGAGGAGTTTTGCTGGACTACGGGGTTGCATTCACAACACCTCACTGTGGTTCACTACAAATGCATTTTGCTTAATAAATACATTAGGTGTGTAAATGTAAATGTAATTTCAATGAAATGGACCCTAACCTATGGAAAACTTGCAGACATAAGTGACATGATCGTTGCACTTTGTCAATACAGACAACTGGGCTGTTCCAACTGTTCCAAATAGCCTCTATTAGCCCTCTCCACAGCTCTACTCGACTGCTTTTCTTCCTGTCTCCTCCAAGAGACACCCTGGTAGCAGAGGGGGTGGGGGTGTAGTGATGGTGGAGGGTGAGGAAGAAAAGTGATAAAGCTCTGTGATTTGCTAACAGTGTCTGGACCGACAGCCTCAAGAGTCCACAAGGGCTTAAGACTGTCTCACTGCAGTATCAGCAAGCGCTTAAGGGCTCTGGCATGAACTTCTGGAGACTTCCCCAGTGATTTTTAGCAAGTCTGCAACTCTGTAGACTTTCCAGTGACTAGCCCATAATTCATTGCAACAGTGACATCAGTAAATGAGGACACTGGGGATGCGTCCAAGAAAGTAAGGCATATCAAGCCCACCAGGTAGAAATGTAAAGTTAAAACCACTATAAATAACCCTTCTTACATCTTTTATTGCTCTGATAAACATTATCGTGCATCTTCAGACAACATGTTTATAATATGCTTTTAATAGTTATGTAAGAATAGATTGTTTAAAATGTCTGGACCTTCTGAATTAAAACTGTCACTTTATCCAACATTTGATGTCATAAAGCAGCTTTCACTGGAACCAACATCAGGTTTCCTGCAGAATGTAAGGAGTGGAAATGGGGATTGTGGCTCCCTTATTAATCTAAAAGGTGCTTTCACACCTAATCTATTTGGTGCAGTTGAAACCAATTCTGGTACAGCTATACCCTCTGGTATCGATTCTTTCTGGCAGGTGTGAAAGTTGTCAGTTTTAATCTGGCACAGACCAAACAACTGCATGAATGCCTGTCTCGGTCTGGTTTCAAACATGGTTGTTTAGGGTGTGAAAGCAAAGCAGATAACTGGATTTTGTGGTAGATGTCAGATTATATTTTCACACATTAACTATCATTAAAAAAAAATAAAAAAAGTCCAGTGTGTAACATTTAGGATAATCTATTGGCAGAAGTGGAATATTTTGTTTTTTTACAATCACCTGAAAAAAAGAATCTGTGTTTTTGTTACCTTAGAATGAGACACTTATAGCCATGTTGAACTGCCATGTTTCTACAGTAGCCCAGAGGGGACAAAGCTGGCTCTAAATAGGGCCTTTTGTATTTCTCACAGCCAGTTTCTCCTACACACTTGTAACACCAGAATGAAGCAAAGACGTTGCAAGCAACTGGACCTTTATATCTGTGCTGATGGAATCTGTTAATGTAGCTTATAAAAAGGACTAAAAACAGACAAAATACTATTTTTTAAGTATTTAAAAGAGAGAAAAAAAATGTTCTATTGGACAAGAAACAAATGAGTTACAGCAATCAGCACATATATGAAAAATGTAAACCAGTATACTAGTTCATCCAGTATGTAGCAGGTCCCTCTTTTCAACTTTTGATTCCCCCCCACAAAAAAAAAAAAATAAACAAAAAAAAAAAAATTTTTTTTTTTAAAAAAAAAAATCAACACAAATGCTCAGCTTCCTCAGCTATTTCCAAAGCTTCTTTAGCCCTTCTCCAAAGTCCACAAAGAGTTACTGCAGCAGTCCTCTCTGGTGTGTGTCGCAACCATCTCAGGTCCAGCACACTACTGCATTTAGGAAAGAGAGAGTGATTACTCACTGAGCACCAGCTGAGACCATCAACTCACCTGGTGCTGCTCTCCACATCTCTCTCCCTGCTGCACCTCCACACAGTATATCACCCAGCACAAAAAGCAATGTTGTTGGCATATCTTTTTTATTTTTAAGTTCTATTTTTACTATATTGTATCATTTTGTGAGACCAAAAAAACCCTGTACTAATCAAAGGCTTTAGTATATCCGTCATGCCATTGTAATGTTTTCATTTACTACTGACAGTAGGATAAGCCACTATAAACCTATATAAAGGCTCATCATGCAACAAAAAAGGTAAAATGCAGTCATATACCATGAAACTGTGGCACTAATGCAGCTTTAAGCAATCTCTAGAATTATAGAAGATAATTTAGTAACCATTATGATTCATGATAATGAACATGTCCAGTGAGTGAGGTATTTGTCAGTCCTTAAAAGTAAATATTTTTTTACTAGCAATATTCCACACAACCCCCTTTAAAAAAGGAAAACAGTATGTACAGTATATAAATGAGTTTTAATTGATTTGCATGTAGCCTATGTTACACATCAACAACTTCACAGTCTCAGTACTAAATTCTAATGACACATGTATATTTACAGTAATCCCAACGTATGCATGAAACACCACGCTGCACAGTTTTTTAAAACACATTTTGTGACAAAATTGCACTTCTGTAAGAAGACCCAAAGGCTTTCACTTTGAAAGAAGAAAATGTTGGAAAAAAAACAAAACTAATTTAACACAATTTAAAACAATAAATGTCCAAAATGTTAAAATGAGGTAAAATATATTTCTCTAGACAATCATTTATGCCCAAACTATCACACTTTACACAAGCACTCAAGAGACAAGAGTTTTTCAAACATAAATTAACAGTTAAGATTTCAATTACTAAGCTCAAATGTATTATTAGTCTGTTCCTTTTCAGACAATCAGTGGAGGAGGAAGTACTCAGATCCTTAAATTAAAAGCAGCAATACCACAATTCCAAAATAAAAGACCTGCATTCAAAGTGTACTTAAATTCTGAAAAGTAAACAGATAATTTAGCTTTGTTGTGGGACAATTTGATCCTTCTTAACATCCTTATGTAAATCCCAGCACATCTGTGCACAGTAGTAACACCTGAGTAGATCTAATCAGCCACATAACTGAAAACACTTTGAGCACCCCAGCCTTTAACTTATAATAATGCATCATAATCTGTTAATTTTGGAAACCTGTCTAGTAAATGTCGTATGAAAGTACAATATTTCCCTTTGAAATGTTATGGAGTAGAAGTCGAAAGTTACATTGGAAATATTCAGTATTTCAACTAAAAATGATATATAAGTACCGTACTTGTGTAAACTTTGTTACCTTATCCCACTGTATAATATTAGTATGTTTTTTATCACACAACTCTACAAAGCATTTACTCTACAAATCAGGAGCCAAAAGGCACCAGTTCACAGATCATTGGTGTGGTCCAGATACAGTCAATAGTTTTGACTTTTGGTTTGAAGGAACCAAACGTCATCCCTGTGTATCAGTCCATCGAGCAGCCTCAGGTTACTCAATCTGCAGTGAAGTGAAACTGTGTGATCACCTCGGTGTACATCCAATTTCTCTCTCTAAGAATGTTTGAGCAAAAGGTGATTTTTTTTTTTCAAATTTGGTAAACGTACATTTAAATCCCATACAAAATGCACATATAATACAATAATGTAAAAAAAAAAAAAATGAAATGGTAACTGAGCTTTCATTAATCATTCCTTTCAACACAAAGGTAGAGAAAAAAAAAGTTGGTCACATCGCTGTGTAGGCTAATTCTTCTCTTTTTGTCCTGTTAAGTCTATCTGAAACACCAAAAAGTCACAATAATCTGTGACAAGGCTTACCTTGTCCCCTTGCCCCTGAACCCTTGTTGACTTGTTTTCAACATGACTGGCTTAAGAGGACAAAACAGAGACTTTGTCAAGTCTTTCTGTGATGTATGAGATGAAAAATGAGACTGAAGTTTCTTCAGTCACAATCCGAGTAAAGCTTTCTAGCATGACTGACACTGTGGTGGATTCTCAAGGCTTCCAGTGCAGCATAGTTAGCAAGTTGAGCATGGTTATCATGATAAAGATAGCTTCCCTTCACCAGATGACCTGTCAGGTATATGAGAAGAACTAATGAGTCTGCTGTTGAGAGAGAGAGAGAGAGAGAGAGAGAGAGAGTGCGTGTACACTCACATGCCTTTTAATAATTTATGTACATAAAATTCAAATGTGACTGATAAAACTATAATTTCCCTCCCATGTGTATATCCCTGAACCTGCATGCATCTGTGTATTATCCTATTTCTTCCAAATATTCCTCCATGTTCCTTGTGCAGCATTGTGATTGGCATTGGTAGCATTATTTCTCAAGACGAGCTGATGTGTGGCGTGTGTGCCGGTGTGTGAATGTTCATAAGACATCACATCTGTCCTCAGTCCCTCACTGTAATGATGATATGATCGTCCTGTCCTTTCCACAGCATCTCCCCTTCGAAGTCCAGCATCTTGTGTTTGCGGCAGCGCAGCAGGATGCCCACCACCTTATCTGAGATCTTCACGTAGCGGTCAAAGAGTCGGCCGAAGGTAACGATGGTCCTCCCCTCTTTATCCTTATAGCCCATGTCTCTGATGATCCACACCATCTCCTCCATCTCCCTGTGGATGTGTTTGTGGGCCCTGTCGCCCCTCTCTGCAGTCTTGGAGCCGTCTTTGGGTCGACCGTAGCCGGAGTCGCCCTTCTGCAGGCGCTGGGACATGGCATAGTCATAGTCAAACTCCTCACTGAAGGGGTTGAGCTTCTGGCCCTCCATGTGCTGCACAGACCACTGCTGCCAGCGGCTTTTGATGTCACCCGTGGTGGCAATTTTAATCTGGGGATAAATGATGGGTAAAAGGTTAACATAAAAGTTCATTTTCCCATAAACGAATAAGCAAAGTAAAATGTTTTTATTATAGGTGTACCTCAATGTTTAAATTTTTCATATCAAAATCGGCTTACTAGCCACGGTGAGTACCACTTAGCCTGTGAAAATGGTTTTATATTCTCTTCTGTGGCCCTGGATGCGATTTGTCAAGTCTGAAAAAATAACCCTGATGATGCCATAGTGATGTCATCAGGGTTAACTTGACTTGGGCTTGGATACTACAAACGTTTCAATGAAAAACTGCAGTACTGAGAATGTGGAGTTTTAAAAGAATGCCTTTACGAGGCTGGGGGATTCTGATGAAGGACACTAATGAGTTGCATCATGGGTAATGTAGGATCCAGCGTTTTTGGAGCTTGACCAACATAGGGACTAAAAGTCAGGATATCTTGGCCTCTGCTGCACAAATGCGAACATTGTTTTTTCCAATTTATTGTATTTATCGCTAGGTTTTTTTTAATACGACACACACGCTGACTGTTTACTTTTATTATTATATTATATATATTAACTTTGATTAGTGACCCCAATCTTAAAATAAACTCCCCTTTTGGATGTAATTGATCCCCATCTTGGCCTTTGATTTGTACCCAGTCATATGAACTAATGGAAATACTTTACAACCTCGAGGATCCAGCAATAGATTTTTAAAAAACCTAAGCAGGTGGTGTGGGGGATTTTCTTCAGAAGACTGAATCGCTCATAAGCCCCTTTTCATTTATTGTTGCAACATTTTTATGATATCAAATCTCACTTCTCTTCTTTCTCCCTCCCCCTCATACATCAAAATCTTCTTGCCTATTTAATCGTGTCTCCTATCCCAAACTCCCTATGCCCCCCTTCCCCTCTCTTGCTCCTTTCACCTCCTTTGGCATTTTCCTCAGCTTGCCAGGCCTTCAGATCAGTGTCACCATACCTCTTAGGAATTTGTTCGATGAAAAGTGAGGACTTGTCAGGGAGAGGCCTTCTACAAAACTCTGCGACCCTTAAAGTGATAATCCCCTTTTTCCATTTTGCCTCTGCCATCTTTGGTTCTCAGCATTCGTTGCTGGTACAATTCGGAGGTATGTCTACTTTACTTGGGTATTTTCACTATATATTAATGTAATACTCAAGTTTTACTTTTATTAAACTTTGAATGCAGTAATTTGAATGCATGGTCAACACATGGTCAAGACGTGTTATGTGAGTTGTGTCTTTTTAGTGTCTTTTTAGCTCGGTTTATGCACCTTTATTGCTGTTTTGGTTCATCTGCCTTTCCAAATGTTTGTTTTTAAGGAAAAAAAGCTCTAAGAAACCCACTGAACACTACCTGCCCAGCACCAAACAGTGGTAAGACAGTGTGTAAGTAGCAGGTGAAGAAAGTCGAAATCTTGAAGCTCTTTTTCAGATATTTTTGTTCCATGTTAATCTAAGGAGCTAATGGAGACTAAACCAGAGCTGTTGTTTGTTTGCCTGTGACCAACATGTCTTAAATCTGTTCCACCATTAATCCAGCCACTCAGTTTTCAAATAAACACATCATCTGATGCGTCAGTGGTAATAAAACATTATTTTGTCATATGGGTGCTAGAAGTAGGGCTGTTGAGGGGGGGCTGCCGTACCCCCTAAAATCTGGCATAATGAAAACCATTAGTTCATAAAAACGTTTAAACTTATAATGACATTTCTAATGGTATTCACATGTGTACACTGGTATTCATGGCAGGAAAGAGGCTTGACGGAGTGAGGTTTGAAAGAGTATGACGTCATTATATAGACAGACTTTCTCTCAGCACCCCCAACTTTGACTGACTTCCAGCGTCCCTGATTTGTCAGCACATTCACGTCCCCATTAGCAATGCCACCGTCAGGCCAACACTACCGTGAGTTCTTCTTCTTTTGATTATTATTATTGACTTGTTATTATATAATATGGATAATACATCTATCAAATCTGTTTAATTTGGATGGCAATTATAGCACACGAGCAGTGCCAACTCATCCAAAATGGAGATTGATAAAATGAATAAAATAAAGAATAATACTACATCTTTATACTATTTCTCATATCTCTTGAATGTTTTGTATTTTTTGTCTAAATGATTCTTGTCCCAGTGTCCATCTCTCCTATTACCTCTCTCGTCCAGGTCCCTAACTTCCCTCCCCCCCCCCGTGTTCCCCTCCCTGGCTGTTCCACCTGAAGGTCAGGTTGGAGAACACGTTGGACAGTGTGACTATTTTTATTTACATATATTCCATTGCGGCGCAGTCCAGCTTGTGTTTTTATGAGTTGGACTCACTCCCCGGCGACCCCCTCAACTTGTCAAGGGTGCCGCTAGCCGGCTCCTTTGCCTTTTATAGGAGGGATTTTAGCATCGGAGTTATGCTGTTACGCTGTTTGGTTTTGGATTTCTTCAGGTGACATCAAAGGGACTTCTGTTTCAACTTGTTTATTCACACTGTGTGACTTCTGTGTGAATATTTATGCTATAATTTAGGATATTTGTCCTCCCCTGTGTGTTTGATTAAAGCACACCAGTAATTTTTATTGTGGTTGTACAGAAAGCAGACAGGAGGAACTCGTAAGTGTCTGGTCAACATACTGGCTCATACTCGGAAAAAATACATTAAAGGCAAATATGCAAAGTTTTGTAACGTTGCTCATTAGGTCCTCTATAAGCCTGTCACCAACAACTTTAAACTGTATCAAAGGACCAATTCTCTCAAGACCTCTATCACAGTATAAGATGTTTGGATGTTAGCCAGAGATAAAGTGTTTGGCCTTTTCTGCCAACGCTGTGTTTCCCTTGTCTTTCTGAACTCAGGACAAAGGACGAAGGACAAATTACAAAAAGTGCACTCCAGCAGCTTTTCACCTTTGTTAAATGCTAAATATTTTGATACGTGGAAAGGATATCAGATACATTTACAATAGGTAGCGACCTATAATTATCTTATATTCATTAACATTATCTTGTCATCTAAGTCAATTAACTTTTTATTTTATTTTATTTTAAGTTGATTTAAAGCTGCTGCAGAACAAACTAAATAACAAGATTGGTAAATGGTAAATGGACCTGTACTTGTATAGCGCCTTTCTAGTCTTCCGACCACTCAAAGCACTTTGACACTACGCGCCACATTCACCCTTTCACACACATTCACTCAGTGATGGCAAAGTCCATCGAACAGAAACTAACTCATTCATACACTTTCACACAGCGATGCACAGCAGAATTTTTGACATGGAGGAGGAGGAGCCGGGGATTGAACCAACAACCTTCCGATTAGGGCCTCTGCGCCACAGCTGCTTTGACTTAGCATCATAAAGTTGTGAATGTGTTTCTGGGTACCTAACAGATGTTCGTCCAATATCCACTTTCCTTTTAGCTAAATTCTCCACTATATTGACCAGCTAGTTGCTAATTTGCTACCCGGCAGGTATATTTAGTTTAAAACAGCTTTGTCCTATTGATGGAAACTCTGTTGATAAGATCGCAGAAGTTGAACCCAACAGTGAATTTGATGTAAAACCAAAACAAAAAGATAAAATAGGCTAAAAAGCTCTTTGAAACAGAGAAGTTGGGTTGTAATTCTCTGTAGTCATCAAGTGACACCTTCCACATTAGTCTCCGTGATTTGATCCATAACATAAAAATATTGATGGGTGTGGCTTGAGATTCAAGTTAGGTTTGAATTTATGTTTAATTATTTTAACTTTACTTTATTTCATTGTGTTGAAATTTCCATTTAAACCACTCTACCTTGGGCCTGTTGGTCTGTTTCTTGGTCAGGATATCACCCAGTTCAGTTTTTGGTTCACTGTTGTCGCTGAGTCCGGCCTCCTCTCCCAGCCCGCTATCCTCTGTGTCCACGCTGCTGCTCCTCGACCCCAGCTTCTTGTCCTGGAGCATCAGCTTCCTGTCTTGGATGACCCCTCCTCCTGCGCTCTGAAGCGCTCTCATCTGTCGCCGCCGTGTCGGTGACTCGTTCCCCAGGAATCGCTTGCTCTCCTCGGGACCGGACTCCATCTTGCCTCGAATGGCGTTGACCAAGTCCATGCTGCTGCATTCAGTGCGTTTTGGCTGGATAGTCTTGGTCACAGCACAGGCCCGGATCTTACTGCTGCTGTTGTCATCAGGATCAGCTGTGATTACACGCGGGGTGACAGTAAGTTTGACTACATGGCTTTTGTCTTCGTCTTCAATAGATGAAGGCATCCAGCCGCTTGGAATGCCATCCTGCTTGTCGCTGTGTTCATTGGCCCAACCCTGCCAGCTCTTGGCCAAGTTGGCCACCATGGCAGCACATTTTATCTTCCGTACCGCCCGTTTGAAAGCCTGGGGCTCCTGTGGTGAAACTGTGGTGGTTCCACCGCTACTCATGGTGACGGGATACCAGAAGGGATGTTTGTCAAAAATTTGTATTTTTCTTGTTCTAATGCTCTAGAAATCTACTCTGCTTGCAGAATGTGTTGTGGCAATTCCAAGAGTTAGAGTCAAGTCTTTGGGGTGCGCTTTTCCAATCAAAGTCAAACCTTTTTGAAACTGTTTCCAAAAATCCGAAGTTATCACAATGCATGAAATTAAATTCTTAAAAATTCTTTGGATCTCTCAGAAACGTTCTGGTTGTGTTCTGGTTTGCATTAGCCTTCATAGCCGGGATGTGTCTTCACAGAAACATCCGGAGCCTTCCAGATCGTCAGTCGGTCAGTGGGTGAGCTGCTGGTGTAAAGAGTGCGAGGACTTTGGCTTTAATCCCCTGATGAATCCCCTCTGGCTCCACACCGCCCTTTAAATAGGGAAGGGTCGTAAAGGAAGTGATGTCGCACAGTGTCCATGTGAGACAGGAAAGTCCAGTGTCAACATTCTTGTTACTGACACAGGTCCATGCACGCGCACACAGCCACACACACACACACACACACACACACACAGTGACCGAGGAGTGGAATTTCTCCCAGTGGGATCCAGGCAACAGGTGCCCAGTGTTTTTAGCTCGGAGGTTTCTGTCCTTACACACAAATACGCTCAAACACAAACAGGCTCAGCCTGCTATACGTGGGGGACCGGCGTGTTTGTATGTGTTCATTGTGTATATATAGTGATGATTTCATTCAAATACACAACTTTCCTTTATGGCACAACAAGTAATGCTTTGACCACTTAGATGTGTGAGAGTGAATTCTTAAATTGTGGGTCACACAGCAAGCATCTGGTGAGTGTGTTTGCATGTCTGTGCATGCATAGCTCTATTTCAGTCTCTGTGTGTATTTGTAAATGTGTAAGTGTGAACTTCTGGACTATGATTTACTGTTTATGTATTCATATTATCAGATATTATTATCTGAAGTTTTTGGCTGTAATTGTTTAATTGTTTGTCTTACTTTATTGTTGGTTGTTTGACTGTATATTGTTAAACTGGGTTATGGTATCTTGTGCGTTGTCTGTTTTGTTGTAGTTAGTTAATTCGTTTTAATTCCCTGTCAAGGATTTGGCCCTCCCCACATAGGATTATATGTACTGCTATCTATCAAACATCGAAAAAGTATTACTCTCGGTTTGATCTTGCAGGACCCAAAGAAAATGTCTTTACTGCAAGTGGGGGAGGGCTGTCAAACTGTGGGTCCCGGGTTTTTTTTCTCAGTTTTTACTGATAGAGTAAAATAACGATGTCCTGTGGGACAGGAGAAGACACTAAATCTCTATTGTGAAGGACTGAATGATCAGAAAACTTTCTGGAGCGGGTAAGAGTCGAACAGACACAATGGGAGCAGGCGGTAATGGTCAGAAATCCATATTGGACGTATTGTGTCTGCTAAATGCATACATAATTTGTTCCTGTTTCACATGAAGCAGTTGGGAAGAATCAGTACTTTTTTTAAATTATATCAAATTTGTACCAAAATCTATAAACACACAGGTGAAAAATTTACAAATGCAGATGCTTTCATAAAGGACACGAGGGGTCATTGAATGATGAGATTGAAAAGTCTACAAATCAATTGAACACCTTGGGGAGACTGGAGAAGATTGCAGGGAGTTTTTACTTTAGGTTACGACGTATCAAATCAAATGTGTGGCCCTTTTCGGACCGGACATTGATATGCATCTTGGGTGATCTGATCACAAGTGGACAGCTCTAAGTATGTCAGTTCACACCTGTCAGCGTCTCCCCATATGTCTGACCAAGTGACCACTTGTGATCAGATCTCACTTCCCTGCTCCATAAGCAAATAATCCCGTTCATCACTTCCTTTTGAAAAGATCCAATGTGTTGTGTTGTAGGCTTTCACGGGTCACAGGCAGCGGTGTACTTCCTGTGCCTAGTCTGCCAGAAATTAAAAGAAGAAGAAGACGTTTGCAAAGACCTTGTCGGGTGATAAAATCGAAACAACACAGACTTGGTTTATTTATTCTTCTAATCTTCAAGAATCCATTTAGCCTTTTGTTGTTGTTTTGCATATATACCACTGTATGTAGGTACCTCTGCCCCTCTATGTGGCCATATGCAGCCAAAACCACCTCTGAATGTGATCTAAGCGATCGCATCTCAATGTGTCCTTGATGTGCCTCGGGTGCATTCACACCTGTACTTCAGATTTGATCAAGATGCACATTAATGCCAGGGGTGAACAGGGCCTTAAAAACTGACTGTATGTTTAATTTTATAATGAACTAAGAAACAACTTTGCCACAAACTAATGAACATGTTTATTTTTCAGCACATATTCCCCAGTGATTTACTCTCATATAGCTTGTTACATAATATATAAACTGTGATGTAAATTTCATCTCGGCAAAGCTCATTAGTAACAGTCACTATAATCAGCACAGGGGAAAGTGTATTAAAACCAGCAAAGTGACTATAGATTGAGTGACAGAATGACTGAGAGATTTATTGTGAGATTAAATGATTCATTAGCAGTATTCAGTTATTAGTGTTCATTAAACATAATTAAATGAGACATTTCACCAAGTTCCAACTGTGGTTCTAATTCTTATATATTCACCCTTTAATTCTTTTTATTGCTGCTGTCATTCTTTTGCACATACCCCTCAATGAAATGTGTCAGAGCAAAAACATATTGATATCTGTTTGAAAAGCCAAAACACCACAAAGACTCTTTTTGAGTTGTTTTTGGAGTTGATCATGACATTTCACTTTAACCTTGTTGCATCACCGTCATACACAAAATACAATGAGAAGATAACCCACTCAGGTGTTATTGATTCAGTTGACAAACCAAAGCATAATTATTCATTAACCAATGTTGAGTATGATGCTGTAAGTGAGAAGTAATAATATGTTTCAGCCTTGATAAAACTTTTCTGTGTGCAGCCAGACAAAGCCGAATGCGTCTTCTGAGTGTCTGTGGACTAAAATAACCAACCAGGGGCCAAGCCGTCACCAGCTCAGGTTTCTGGCATATGTGAGCGTGTGTGCATGTGATTGAGAGTGTGTGTGTGCGCTTCAGGTTCCCGGCCTCATGCCAGCAGCTACCTCACGTGCACGCTCCCACAGCCCACTGTGCACGGCAGGTTTGCACAGAAATAGACGTTCCTGGCACTTAGCTTTGAGAAAGGTGTGAGCGCTGTGTGTAATGATACGAGTATTTATACGTGACTTAATCAGAGGAAAGGTACTTTCTATACTGTATGTGAACCGTGAGTCACCGGCTGAATAATGATGTGATATACTTTGTAGAAGCCTGCAGGAAAACTCCTTGAGTTTGTTCACCCGCAGCGTGGAGCAGGTTCAGCTGCAAAGCAGTAAGCTGGCAGGGAGTCTGTGTATTGCTTAAGGGCACTTTGGTAGGTTTTAGGCTCACTGAGATAAGGATGTTTTAAATGTTTTTATTTCACATTTTGATAACAAAGTAAAACAGACAAACTTAACATATGAATAATAATATTAAATAAATGGATAATCTAAGATAAAGTAATATAACCATCAATAATATAAACAACGAGATACACACCTTAACTCTATTTGCACAGACTCTCTGAGAAAAAGAAGGAAATACTATTAAATACTATTCTGTGAATATAAATAAATTCTGTGAAATATTTTAATATTACTGCCACGTTTCTTAATCTGAAGTGAGCACCATATGCTGTGTGTCAGGGCAGCCTTGCCTGCTGTTCTCTATGAAAATCTGCTGACCAAGTGTGCTGCAACAGAATACACAGCTGATTTCTTTATAGCGTAAACACAAAAAATAAAAATGAAATCATATTCTTTTGGTTAGCTTTTTTCATATATTCTTCATCAGAGAGAGCATCTCTGAATGCCTTTTTTTTCTCCTGCTTTTCTGTGTCATATGTTCAGATATAACGATATGCAGACGTTTATGAGCGATAGACACCAGTTTATAAATAATCTTAAATATTTGTATTGTTAAGCTAAAGAGAGAAGCACCTCAGCTGAGAAATCAAGTGAAATAGCAAAAAAATACACTCCATCTAAGTGTTACCTGCCTTGGTGATGCTTTATTCATTATTCTGTGTCTTTTGCTATTTAGGATATTGGATTTATGTGGCACAATAGTGCTTGTTGCACTTGCCACTGTTAATATCCCATTTATTGTTATTTTTGTTGTTTGAGTTACATCGGCTTTTCTTTATTTTAATATGGATAAACTCTTGTATTCACAAACTGCCCGTCTATAGTCAGTATAGGTGTGGATATGAGGCGTGGGTCCTTTTTCATCTGTATGCTCCATGTTCCAGTGGTAACTTCACCACAATATGGACAAAATACTCAAATCATTGTTGTAGTTTCACAAACATTATACATAACTTATATAGCTGTATTTGATAACAAACTGACTGACGTTTTTGGTCACAAAAAAATATTGTTCTCTCTAATCTCACATAGCCAGGCCTCCATCTGGGCAGACTGATGATGATAAGCTGCTGGTTTACAGGAAGGAGTAACAAGCTGGGACATTTATGGCAATGCAAACTTAATCAATCATCATTCTTTGGAGTCTGAATGAATTGAAGTTTTCAGAGACTGATTGATCTGATGTAATTGGGTTCGCTCCGCATTCATGACAAAATATTGAGAGAGTCCGAAAGAGAGAGGACTTATGAGCTGGACTCAAACACGCTGTGTTGAAAAGTACAAGCATGTGAAATCCCTCTGCAATCTCTCTTTGTGCAGACATTGGAATTTCAATGTTTAATCATTTTGTCAAATTCCTAAATGTACTATGTAGAGCTCGACGAGATGAACATCTACATCCTGTTGCAGCATCCATCGATATCGGGTCAGAACTCTACATCCTGTTAGATCCATCTGTAGACACCTGTGTTCACCACATTTGGACATATAAATAAACTTTATTGTTATTATTGTCAACCACACAATATGTTTGTTCACTGATTAAACCTCCATTGCACGACATGAGACTAATAGCCTGCAATGTAGTGTTAAATATTACAGTTAGACAGGGAATTTGGATTTTGTACCAAAACGTTTTTGGTCAAAACTAAGAGCCAATCAGCTCTTTGATCAGTCCTGGGTCTTGAAGTCGATAGAGAGCAGCTGCAATGCCTGGCTCTACGTGTGGTTGCATGAAGTCATTGTTTCCTATGTGTGCATGACATCAGAACAAGTCGGACACAAACCTAACTGGCGGGCATTGTGCAGCGATCAGCGGTTTATCGATTCAGCATCTCGAATGAGACTAATAAGAACCTTGGCTGCAGGTTGCTGTCCAGAAAACTTCACTGTTGCTAATTTCAGTTGCTTGCTTCAGTGCAAATTAC